ATATGTTAAGAAATATTTAAAAACTGATAAAAACACAAAAACTTAAACTAACATTACAATTAAAATAAAAGCTAATTCAAAATAATAAATATTATAATGATATAAAAAGTAATATTAAAAATGACACTGATCCTGACCTTTGTCCCACTGAAAAAATAAACATTTTAGTATAATTTCCCAGTAATACATACCAGGTACTTTAAATTTAATTCAATAATTAAAAATGTATTATAATAAAATATCAATATCACTGACCTTTATTCAAATAAAATATGAGCTTGCAAAATGACTATAACTTAAACCAAAATTAAAATGAAAATATAAAAATAAAAGCTAATTCAAAATAGTAATACTGATTCTGATCCCTAAATATTAGTAACATGTCATTCTCAGTAATACAAACAAGATTTTCTCATGGTAATGTGATTATTATAATATATTATAATATTCTAATGATTTGATTTAATCATGAAAACAATTAATTATAATAAAATAATAAATAATAATTAATTATGTAAACAATTTAAAAATTTACATTCAGTGTTAATTATTGTTATAAATGTTCTGTAAGCATTATAACAGTGTGCCGTCTTTCTATTATAAATTCAATGTGCGGCCTATGGCTGCAATGATTTTACTGATTACATGTTAAAATGACAAATACATGGCCTTAAATTAAACACATTTATATTTACCGATGACTGTTGGCTCAAGGTCTACAAAGATGGCACGGGGTACATATTTGCCAGCTCCAGTATCACTGAAGAAGGTGGTGAAGGAGTCATCATGGCCACCCACTGGTTTGTGGCTGGGCATCTGGCCGTCGGGCTGGATACCGTGTTCCAGACAGTACAGCTCCCAGCAGGTGTTACCCATCTGGACACCAGCCTGGCCAACGTGGACAGAGATACACTCACGCTGTGGAGAGGAAACAGATTATTATTAACTGAATGTTGCATGGCATTGCATGCATAACATGTTAGTAATTTCTGTATGTTACTCCTAAATATAATTACCCAGCTAACAAAAAATATGTTCTATGAATGTTCTGCTAACATTCCCTTTAAGTTATGAAAATGTTATTTCAGAATATTCTTTGGATATTCAAAACGTCCAGTTTTTTTTAAACGTTTTAAAAACGTTTTTTCTTGGTTATGCATATGTTAGGGGAACATTCCATTTTATCATTTTGCAGACATTACGGAATTTTACTTTTAAATGTTCTCTAAACATTTCGAAACAAATAGTAACATTTAAAAAATGTTAGCTGAAATGTCAAACTAAAAAACTAAAAAATTCCATGAGCAATGGATAAATAATTTTTGTGTTAACACTGAGAACATTATTAAAGACCAGAACAAACATCCTATTAAAGTTACTGAAGAACATTTGTTCATAACTTTAAGAGAAACTTTATAGAACATTTGGTGGTTAAAATCAGTATGAAATCAAATTCAACCGTATTTACTTTCTTAATGCACATTAAATTTCCTGTCTTTCCTGTTCCATGTCTAAAGATACAAAAATGGCAAAAATAAATATACAAATAAATGAAATAAAACAATATATTGATTGCATTTAACAATATCTCTAAATCAAACCTTAGTTTTGCCACCAGGGGGCAGAAGCAAAAAAAAAAATCTTTATATAGTCAGCGGTTGGTCTATTACACAATGTCAGTCACGAATGACTGACATCTATCTACAGCTGACAGGAAAAAGGTGTTGACTGGATCACTCAAAGCCCCCAAACTTTTCTAGATTTTTAGGGTTTGTACTTATCTAGATGACAACCCTCAGATAACAAAGTCCAAACCAGCCTTGAATTTATATTATGGCATGTTAAACATCCCTGTTTGTTTGGAAAGGGAGTTTCCTATGATGTGACAGTTGCCACATACTGCAGACAGACCTACTAACCCTCATAGTCATCAGTATTTTCTCTTCACACATACACAACAAAAAAACCTTACACAAACACTATTTTACTTGCTCCTCACACACTACTCCCTTGCAAGTCTGAAGCAATGAAAAAGCATGAGGTGTCGACAACAGCCCCAACAGGTTTATATCAGACGACAGAGCGAGCTACACCCTAATGTGGAACTTACAGCTTGTGTCCTAAAAGGGGGTTGAAAGAGTGATGAAAATCAGTGGAGA